GAGTCTTTTAATAACACTCCCAAGAGCAGGCACCCATTTCCCAGGACTCCCTGGCCCCAATTGTGCACCAGTGGGTTCCCACAGCCTAGCCTGCACCCTCTTGCAAACCAGGACACCTTAGGAGATGTCGGAGAGCCAGTTTTGGCCTGATCCCTCAGCCAGGCTGAGGGACCCCACTGGTGCATGAATTTGTGCACCAGGCCTCTAGTAATTAATAATACTCTATTGCACATTTGAAAGTGCTAAGAGAGTAAATCTTAAATGTTCTCATCACAGGAAAATAAATTTTTGTAGCTTTGTATGTGACAGATGTTAAGTAGACTTATTGTAGTGATCACTTTGCACTGTATACAAATATTAAATCAATATGTTGTACACCTAAAACTAATATAATGTTATATGTCAGTTATATCTCAGTTAAAAAGGGGGCTAAAATATTTTAAAAGGAAAGAGAGTATACTCTCACTAAATATAATGCAATTTCATGGTGTACTCCAAGGAACTGTTACTATGTTATAATGGTGGGTGGGTGTGAGTTGGGAATGGGAAAGGAGGGGTAAAATATGATAGAGAATACTCCCTCAGACATGAAATTAAATATAGGTGGATAATATAGTTGAATGTTTGATTTTCTTATTTTGTCTTGTTTTAAACGTCCCGCTCGCCGTGAAATCCTTTTTTGGTAGTAAACAGAGCTGGCCAAGCCTTCAGATGCCTGCCATGCTAAAGCTCCCTTTTAAGGGAAACTATCTTGTTGCTTAGCCCTTGCTGGATGGATGGTGACTCTTTGTATTTAGCCATAACCCCTGGCTGTGGCCAAGTGGACACTAGAAAACCAAACCAAGAACATTGACTTATGACTTGGTACAAAGAGATCTACTGGGCTAATCATAGTTTCCCCTGGATAATTTAAAAATACAAAATGTGGAGAGCTGGAGATAGTTTACAGTGGGGGGCAAAAATTGAAACAGTGCATTAAGGAATATCTCGAGGTAATAAACATGAGGGAAAGATGTGTTACCATGTATTATGGAGAAATAAAAAATATGAGAAATCTGAGAAAGCCATTTAATAGTGAAACTGAAAGAATTGGGTATTTGGAATTAAGTTATATAATTAATAAGGAGACCAGTAGAAAGATGACTACCTGTTGATTAATTGATTCATTTTTTTTTTAAATTTCAACAGATTAGTTTATTGAGTTACTACAATGTTCCAGACACTATTCTAGCCCAAGAGTATTGCTCTGAAATACAGAGAAGACAGTGATTCTCAACTGGCTGTAACTTTGCCTGCCAGAGAATGTTCGACAGTGTTTCAGAGATATTTTGGTTGTCACAATCTGAAACGGGCAGTGCTCTTGGTATTTTAGTGAATAGAGAATGCTGCCAAATATCATACAATGCACAGGGCAGCTTCTTACAAAAAATAAATAAATGATCCGACTCAAAGTATATGTCATGTTGAGATTTGGAAATCCTGGTATAAGCCATCATAAGTATATATTTTATGGAGTAATTACCATCTTGTGCTTGATATTTAACTTTCTGTGTTTTCAGACGTGAGGAAGTTTACTGGAGTAAAATGGAGGCCTCGGTAATATTACCCATTCTGAAGAAAAAACTAGCCTTCCTTTCAGGTATGTTTTCTTCTTTAAAATTGGAAGTGTTTGATGTATAAACTTGTTTAAACTTTTTTTTTTATAAGTTTGACAGAAATGCACTTCATTTTTCTGAGATTTTTGTTTCAGAGGTATTTCTGAGGCATCTTTTAATCAAAATGGATAGCTATGCAAGCCAAATCTGTCACTGTTGTTTCTTGGCAGGCCAATTTTTATCTGTTGTGTAATTTGGTAAAATGATCTCCACAGGGTAGATGTCATGATGCCTCACTTCTTACATGAAAATGAAATAATTGATACAGTCTAAGAATAATTGACTAAATAGCATCTAAATAATAGTTTCTAAAACATAGAGTAATTAGTTTGTATGATACCCTGCATCCTAGCTTGTCTTCCATCTTTCTATGAAAAGGTTTCAATGTGCTGAGGGAATTATGAAATATCAGTTACACAGCTTTCAGTTTTTGCTGTTTGAACTTGGTTATACAGGCTTGGTTTACCTTCAGTTATTAGCGCAATGTCTCTATCAGCTAAGAAGAGTCAGAGATAAAATGCGAGATATTTTATCAGTGTGAGAGCAGTGGTGGGTACATTGGGTATAGTGATTTTTCTGGAATTCTGGATCACTGAGTAAATTAGACATACTTTAGAACAGCTACTGTGGCCAGCCTGTTTACGGTTATTTATATTATGTTATCTCGCTTTTTCTTTCTTACTATTTAGATCCTATCAGAATTTTCTTGATATTTAGGCTACTAATGTCTTTTTATTTCAAAGCATATTGCAGCTCTCTGTAAATTGGCATGTTTTTCTAGGGTAGTATAATGGACAAATAAGATATTGCCTATTAGTATTATTGTTTCCTTACTTATTAACATGCATTTCCTTTTTATGAAGAATCCTCTTCCCTTACCAGTTGACACTTACAATTTTCCATTCTTTTCTGATACGAAAGGTGTTGTAGGAAACATTTTCATTCATAGTTTGTGCATTTTGTACAAGTTCAGTAGTATGTATTTCTATAAATGGACCTGTTAAAGAGAATTTACATTTAAATTTGTGTGAGGTTTTGTCAGATTGCCCTCTAACAATATTGTTTCAAAATGCCCGTTGCTCCACACCGTTGCCAAGAGTGGACATTGTTATTCTTTTATAATCTTTATCACTGATATTTTGCTTCCTTATGACACTTGTCTCTGTGCAACATTTGACTGTTGACCTTACCTATCTTGGAAGTCTTTCCTGTCAGCTTCTGCCCTCTTTTGTACCAGTGATTGCTTTATTGTTTGGTGAAAGCTTGAGGGCATAAGGTTAAATATAGTTCTGAATGTTAGACCTGTCCTCTGAAGACAATTACACAGTGGGTCAGCATGCTACAGTCCAGATATGATAACCTTTTTTTTTAATACCCTGCATCCTAGCTTGTCTTCCATCTTATTAATGTAGGGATAAAGATGAACATTTTTTGAGGCGAAAATGAAACATCTCTTAGCCCACCCCTCTTGATTTTCTCTATTGACCATTAATTATTTTAACCATTAAATTAACACTTGATTTTCAAACTTGTTTAAAAATAGAGAAAAACTTCTAAAACCAAAATCATTCAGGGAATAGAGTTAGAAAACCATGGATGCAATCTGTTTTTTTTAAACTTACATTCTAGACAAAAAAAAAGTGCAATTGAAAGTCTCAATTGATTATTAAGTTGAATCACTTGAAATTATCATTTATTGAGGTTAAATAAATGGTTGAATATCAGTAATTTATATGGCTAACCTAATAAAAGGATCCTCTATGGTTCGGTACATCAAGAATTGCACTTATGCCACTCAAAGCAGTCATCTTGTTCACACCTTTTAGATAAGGGGTGGGGAACGTCCAGTTGGCAGGCCATATAAGGCCCGTGAAATCATTTGGTTTGGCCCCGTCAAGGCATTGGGGGAGTAAATTAAATGTTTGACTAAATATAGCAGGCAATTTTTAAATTGATAATTTTGTATGACCTGTAATGATGTTATAAATATACAAATGACAGAAAAAAGGTTCCCACCCCTGTTTTAGATCATATAGAATAGTTTCTAGTAGAATCTGCTGGTTTTTAGGCTTCTAAGATGGCCACAAGTGTCAGTTGCATCAGAAGATGGGCTTCAGAGTGAAAAGTTAGTCATATGGGGAACTTTCAAAGAAGCTCTGTGTGTATAAAAGTATGTTACACTTTAATGCAAATGGAAAATTGAATAGGAGTTGAACTTTCAGGCTTCTATATCCAGGTCCCATACACTCTTCTCAGCTGGGCAGGGACTTTCTCTTTATTGCCTCATGAACAAAGAATGTCTAGCTGACCTTTGTGCGTTAACTCATATCAGTCCTCATCACAGAATGCTCTTTTGGCTTGGTTTATAAATTCTGTCATTTTCTTAAGTCTGTCCGAGGAAACATTCCACATTTATCACAGCTCCTATAATTTTCTCCATTTCTTTAATCCTTTTTATAACACAGCCTAATAAATAAACTTTCATATTTCATGCTGTTATTTCTTTTTTTTTTTTAATATATATTTTTTATTGATTTTTTACAGAGAGGAAGGGAGAGAGATAGAGAGTTAGAAACATCGATGAGAGAGAAACATCAACCAGCTGCCTCCTGCACATCTCCCACTGGGGATGTGCCTGCAACCCAGGTACATGCCCTTGACCGGAATTGAACCTGGGACCTTTCAGTCCGCAGGCCGTCGCTCTATCCACTGAGCCAAACCGGTTTCGGCATGCTGTTATTTCTTATGGCTTAAAGCTTTTCTTAGGTTGATTTAATTTTATTTATAAATGCTTACTGTGCTGGGTTCACAATAGGCATTTGATGAGTTGATTAAATTAAGAAGCAGACTAGAAAGAAGAAAATTAAACTGATAATTGCTTTGTGTAAGGGAAAATTTCATGGGTGGATTTTTTTCTAAATTTTATATAATTTTGCTATACTATTATGGACATTTATGGTGTATAAAATAAATAGCCATTAGGTAGTTTTTTGCTTTTTTTTTTTTTTTTTACTGATGTCTTAAACTTGTAATCGTTTTAGTAGCATTGAATCCAAATATATATTTTTTGTTTAGTGCTTTAATATCTATTACATGCTAAATTTACCTTTTTTTTTCTTTAATAGGAGGAAAGGACAGACGAAGTGGCCTCATTCTGACAATTCCATTATGCTTGGAACAGACAAATATGGATGAGCTGAGTGTCACCTTAGACTATCTACTCAGCATTCCAAGGTGACTCTTAAGGTGTCTTTTCTTAAATCTCAATGTCTTCATTCACTTACTAATGATTTTTGCTATTGTTAAAATATACTTTGCCTTCTTATCTGCTTTTATTAACAGTGAAGTTATAATTAAAAACACTAGAATCAGTAATTTATGAAACCACAACAGATAAAATACTCTTTTTATGCTCTTCAGGCACTGAATAATATACAGATTTCCAAAATATATGTACTGTCAACTTTAAAGGAACATGAAGATTGAGTATTTATATCATGCAACTTGAGAAAACTTAGAGAAATGTGTTAAATAGAAAGTATCTTTTATTTAGTTATCTCACTGTATAGATATAAGTACACTGCAGATTTTAATTTATTGAGTGAAGGTTATTTAGAGTTTAAAACGTTCTTGTTTTAAAAAATGCAAAACATATTTATATTTTAATCCAAAGGTCTTTGGATTTTTAATTTTTATATTTTTGGGGTGAAGACAAAACTTACACTTTTCTATTTGCTTGAGCCTATCCTTCATTTCAACAAGAAGGAAAACAAAAAAAGTCCTCTCCTCAACTTTTCCTCCCATCAACGATATTTGGGGGCTGAAGTCCCTTGAGCATGCCTCCCAAAAACAATTGGATCGGACTCTCTGGAGGTCGATTCCCAGGCATCAGAATTTTGAAAAATGTCTCCAGGTTATTCCTGATTCTGTAGAGCTTCAACATGTGCAGAAGTTACCTTTCCATTTTTCTCAAATTTTGAATTTTTTAAAAATTCAAATTTAGATTTTAAATTGGTTCTTCCTAGTTGTAGAAAACTCATTTATGTTACAGAAGAAACATCAGAGCACAGAGGTTTAATGACTTGCCAAAAATTACACAGACATTAAGGTCGTAAGTCTTTAGTCACTCAGTAAATGCATGAGGTCCTACAATGAACTCCTCACTGTTCTAGGTACCGAGGAAATGGGTGAACAAAGCAGACCCAGTCCCTGTCCTTATCAGCCTTATTCCTTAATGGGCAAACTAATATTACAAATAAATACACAATATATTAGATTTTCATGAAGGCTATGAACACTAGAGTTAAGAGAGAGATGGCTTGGAAAGGGTAGGTAAGTCAATATTTCCCAAAATGGTAAGGTTTTTATCAGATGTGATTGAATTGAGGAAAAGGACCTATAGATGTCTGATGAAAGAGCATTAACAAAAAACATTGAAGACAGAGTGAACAGGAAGTGCAAAGGCCCTGAGGCAGAAGCAGGCTCAGCATGTGAGACCAATAAGGTGGCTGGAGCAGTTTGAGAGGGATAGAGTTCTGGAAGAGTGATTAGAGAGAGAGGCTGGAGTCAGTCAGGTCATAGAGGACCTTGCAGGCCATTAAGTTCTGAATGAGAAGGAAAGCCATTGCTGCATTCTGACTGAGGAGTGATTTGATTGAATCATGTTACATTTTTAAAGGGCCTCTGTATTTAAAGCACTGTGCTGGAAGCTGTCAAGGTATCAGTAAGATAATATTCTTGCTTTTTTGGGAGCATATTATCTAATGAAGATAAATTATAAACAATAATTATAATAAAAGCATGAGTGAAATTAGTGCCATTATGAAAGTATAAGCAGAGCTTTGTGAGTGGAGGAGAAGGAGCCCTTCATAGTAATCAGAGAAATTTTTAAGAGCAGCAGAACACTGAGCTCAGGAAATCCTTTGGCAAATAGAGTGAGTGAGCTTGTTGAGGAGTCTCTTCTCTTTTACTGCCTGTTTAACGAAGTCACCTCGTCCTAGAAAGGCTCTTAATAGAGTAGGAACAAAGAGGCAGGATTTTAATAGTTTTTTGTTGTTGTTGTTATTGTTCTCAAAATATAAACATGTTAATGGTAGTATAGGAATTTATTAGTATAGCACTCCAGCTCCTTCAACATGCCATTTATAAAGAACATAACATGCTTCTAAATTATGTATGTTGCTAAAAACAGTTTAAACTCTCACTCTACTTGTAGGAATGAAGTTAAAAAACAACAACAAAAAAACACCTTCTCCCTTGAAGTAGTTGAAATAGTGTCTTTGAATTGTGTGTGTTTTCATTATCTATTTCAGTAAAATGTGAGAAAATTATGATTAAGGGTGTTTTTAAGTACCTCAAAAATAAATTTGGAATATTTCATGCCCTTAAGATCACTGCAGATGGCATTTGCAAGCTTCATTACTTTCTTTGTCTTAATATACAGATTAATTTAGAGTGTGCTTTGAAATATAAAAGCCTTATGTAAAACTTATTTAACAAAATGGGTTGTATAACCTGTGTCTGAGACATGCAGATGCCAGTGAGAAGAAAATACCAAATTATGGGTTGGCTCACTTCTCTTGGCTCTAGTCCCAACCAGGTAAGGCCCTCTACTAAGCAGTCTGTGTCTTAGCTCTCCCTCCTGCAAATTCCCACAATGCATTGGAAGTCCCTGACTTGCTGCCACTTATGTGAAAACCACTCAACAGCCAGCTACCCTCTCCAGCTGGTCTCTCTTGGGCTTTTGTCCTCCCTGGGTCATAGTGCTCTTCCTACATGTCTTGTTGGTAGGGAACTCCAGGAATTTTCTCCTTACCTGATCCCACAACCAGCAATTAGATGTCAGATTTGCTTTCCCCAGCAAGTCTTCATGTATTGTTGCTAATCCAGAAGTGACTATTATATTGCCTCAGCTTCCCGCTACCCACCCCCCCACCCCCCAAAACAATACTAGTAGGTTTTATATTTTGTAATACAAAATCCAAAAATAGAACACTTCAACATTCGAGATACATAATTACTGAGATATAATTCAGATACCATGAAATTCACATACCCTTTAAAGGGTACCATTTAGCAGGTTTCGGTATATTCATAAGGTCGTGTGACCATCACACTGTAATTACAGAACATTTTCATCAGCCTAAAAAGAAACCCTATACCCATTAGCAGGAACTCCCCTTCCTCCCCTCCTTCCAGCCTCTGGTAACCACTAATCTTCTTTCTTCTGTCTCTGTGGGTTTGCCCATTTTGTATATTTTATATAAATGGAACCATATAATACATGGACTTTTGTGTTTGTCTTCTTTTCTAGGTTTATCTATGCTATATAGCATGTGTCAGTATTTATTTTTTTCTGATTGAATAATATTTCATTGTATGGATTATCACATTTTGTTTTTCCATTTATCAATTGATGGACATTTGGGTTATTTCTGCTTTTAGCTATTTTGAATTATGCTGCTATGAACATTTGTGTGCCAGATTTTTATATGATCATATGATTCAATTTGTTCACCTGTTGCATACTTCTTGCTCTTATTTTGGAAACTCAGGTTCTGTTACTGCCTTTAGCAATATCATTCTTATGATCTTACTGTTTTAATGAGGAAATGTATTAAAGGGTCTCGACATTAGGAAGGTTGAGAACCACTGCCTTGAGGCTATTGTGAATTCTTATCAGGATTAAGGGAGGATTAGCAAAATCCCCTCAACTGTTGGATTTAAATCTCAGGAAAGGGTCTCCTGTTTACCTTTCCTATAATGTACACAATTGGGAAAACTTTGAGTGAGGAGAGGTTTCACTATAAATCCTTGCTCTGCTAAGCAAAGAGGTAGTTTCTTCCACTGTATTGGAGGAAGGGTAATTGAGATCCCTGCATCCAATTGATTTTATAAGTAAAACAACAACAATAATAATAGAGCTATGTGGCTTGGTTTTAGAATGGAGTTTTTTTCATATAGTTGCATTTTACTAAGGTAGCCTTCTGGAAAGTGTTAGTAAGTTCTTGAGTAATAGGTAATATATAGCAATAACACTTTCCAACACACAACATAATATTTTGCTGGTCACGTGACGGAGAGTGCAAAATGAGAGCAAAGGTGGGTTAGAGATGCTGTATTCAAGCTTTGAATTATTGTGCACACTGAATGCTACCTCATCTCATTAGATTTCTCCAAAATAACACAGAGAGACCCATTTCCAATGGTTCAGTAATAGCTTACTTCGTTTTCTACCTGTTTTACAGTATCACTTTACAAACCTTATACTCCAGACAGAAAGAAGAGACGAGAATTACGTGTGCACTTGGCAGTCATTAGTTACCTACTTCATTGTGATCCCATTTTATAGATGAAGAAATTAAGAGACCAGTGAGACTATTTGAAGGTTACTTTGATTTCTTCTCTCTTTAAGAAAGTGACTTTCCATGCTTATAAAGTAATTTTCTTACCAAATTAGCTTGTAAATACTCATTATTTCCTGAAACAAGAAAAATAAATTGCTTGAGAAAACTCAAATGATATAGTCTTGTTGACAATGTAAACCAAACCAAGTGAGATTAATGCTGCTCCATATACAATTAAGATGTGAACTTTATTTAGAATTGTGAAGAATAAAATATGAAGTTTATTTTAATATTTTGTAGTTTTGTTTCATTTCAGTGAAAAGTGTAAGGCTAGAGGATTTACCGTGATTGTGGATGGCAGAAAATCACAGTGGAATGTGGTGAAAACAGTAGTCTTAATGCTACAGGTAATTTTATTTTTGACTATCAGAAAATGGTTTTATTTTACAACAACAGATAAGGTGATGATGGCCAATGCATTTCATTTATAGGACTGTGCCCAGGCTTCTCAGCAGTGACTGAGCTCTGAAATGCACAGCTAACTATTGGTTTGATACATTCAGTTCAGTTCTTGTAGGTTTGACTTTGAGGAGTAAAATAAATGTCAACCCTATTCCGAAGGTTTGTAAATGATCAAAATAATGTCATGTTTAAATGATTTAAGCAAGTAGGCCAGTCAGGGTAAAAGTGTGAGGGGAGACATTATCAGATTCACCTGGGAGCTTTTGCAGGCTGTAATATCTGCGTTATCCCTACTCCACCCCATTCTGATACTACAGGTGGGAGTAGGAGTGGGTAATTGTATTCTGCAAAAGCTTCTTAGGTGGTTTTGATAAATGTCTCCCTTCTGATCCCCCCCCCCCCCCCCCCCAAACACCAGGAATCAAGATGGTCTATTTCAGTGGTCGGCAAACTGGCTCATGAGCCACATGCGGCTCTTTGGCCCCTTGAGTGTGGCCATGAAGTTTCAATCGCACTGTACGTGTGAGCCCACACGTGGTATTTTGTGGAAGAGCCACACTCAAGGGGCCGCAGTTTGCCGACCACTGGTCTATTTCTTTCTACTCCAGAACTGTACTTAACAGCTGTGTCCCCAAGGACTCTAGCAGCTCACAAATTAGCATTTGTTAAACAGCTGCAATTATACAGGCCGTGATCTGATTCTAGTCTTGTGTTTCATATTGTCTTGTGCTCCTCACAGAATACATACATGGTCCCTTGCATATAGTAGGAACTTAGTAAACATTTGTTGATGTATTAGAAGCGTGTTGAGGATACTGTGATCAGAAATGGAAAAATAAAATATTTGAATAATTGAAAGGGCCAGATTGCTCTTACCTGGGTTTAATTTACCTTAATTAGTGATATATAAGAGATTGTATAATTTAAATGAATGAAAGTGAAAAGAGCATTTTTGGCAGCACACTGACTTTAGAGACAGCTCAAAAACAAAGCAAACACAGTGAAGGGAGTTGGTGGCAGGCCAGTGTGGGTGAAAAAAAAGTTGGCAGTTACATGGGATAGTGAACATTCAGTTAGGTAAATATCAGTGATATTTAAAGCAAGATCAAGATTTTTAAATGAACTAGGAAATAATTGGTAGCTGCTTCAGGATTTTATAGAAAGGAGTATAATTTGAAAAGTTAATTAACAAGGAAAATGACTCAATATTATAGCTTTTGTTTGGGATAATTAGGAAAAGGAATTCAAGGTGTGGAAACTGGTAATTTATTTTTCAGTTTTAGTGCTTACTAGAGTTCGAGTACCATACTAAGCTTGCTATATAAATTATCTCGTTGAACTTTATTCTTAGAGCCTTGGTAAGCAGGTTCTATTATCCCCAAAAGTGAACTGAGGTTCAAGGATTTTAAATAACTTAGTGAGGTTCTTGTAGTGAAAATGGAAAGAGCCACGATTGGAACTTATCAGGTCCTAAGCATGGTCTTAGCTTTATCCCTTACAAAGTTTATATTTTCGAGGTGATATATCTGAGATGGTCCCCAAGTTATCTACCCATTTCCTTATTATTAACTGTTTGGTCTAAACCTTCACCATTAGAATCACTCCTTTAGCCCTGGCCAGGTAGTTCAGTTGGATAGAGCATTGTCCTGATAAGCCAAAGTTGTGGGTTCTGTCCCCAGTCAGGGCACATTTAAGAATCAAACAATGAGTGCATAAATAAGCAGAAGAACAAAAATTGGTTTTACTCTTACTTTCTCCCTTTTTCTCTAAAATTAATAAATAAAAATTTGGAAAAATAAAAAAGAATCACTCCATTGTATTGAAAAAAACATAGCCTCCTGAGGATCAGTTTTTAACAGAGCACAGTTTAGTGCCCTACCATTACTTCTTCTGTCAAATATGTTCCCAGCACTGTGAAATTCCAAACACTGAAGATTAACTCTTCTCTGTCAAAGTTGTTAAAATAACTATTAGGTGAGAAATCCATTCATTATGACCTGTGTTTTTCCTTTCATCCTGTTATTCAACTGTGTCACAGATGCACTGGGGCTTGCTGTCTGAACTGGACTTTGATCAGTGGCAGTTTTGAAGAACAATCAATGGCTGATTTAATCCCTTCTTATGATTTCTTTTCTGATAGGTATTTTAACAACTTTCGGATTTATTAATAGTTAACATTTTCAGAAATTGCAATGGCCTGTTGTTTGCTCCTAGTCAAACATTTTCTACATACAAAGTCTCTCATTGCTTTTATTTCAGAAGGTACTGGTATCAGTTGTTTGGGAGCCCAGAACTTAGTGCTGGCTTTCCCTAGGGCTAATATTCTCTCAGAGGGGTGGCTTGGTTTCTCTTGTTTCTCACAGCTTTAATATTTAATGATTTTGAAATAATAATCTTTCACTAGTCAGTATATGAATAAACTTTAATCTACCTTAAACTTCTTGTTCCTCTGATAAACGTTTTTATTTTTATTTTTAATAAAATGGAAATTAATAAAATATTTTACTTAGTTTATTCACAGCCCAGTCATTGCAGGGAACACTAGGTTTGTGATGTGTCCAGTGCCATGTTTTAAGTAGGAAGGTCTTTGTTGTTCCCTAATTAATAATAACACTATTATTATTATATTATCATTATTCAGTTATGCCACTTATGGTATAAAATATAAATTTGTGGTTGTTCCTGGAGTTTGTAAATAAAGTTTTATTGGAACTTAACCACACTCATTTGTTTACATATTGCTTATGTCTTCTTTTATACTACAGGGACAGAATTTTAAATAGTTGCAACATAGACTGTATTGCATGCAAAGCCTAAAATATTTATTATCTGGCCCTTCAGAAAGAATTTACTGACTCCTGGTCTAGAAGATTTGAAATGGTGTGGTAGAACTTTTTTAGAGTCAGACAGGCCTGGTTTCTATTATAGCACCATCACTTAACTCTTACTATGGATAAGTTACTTTAGTTCTCTGAAGCTCAATTTATTCTTCTGTAAAGGTTGGGGGATGAAAGCCACTTATTAATGCAAATTCATTTATTCAATATATATAAAGTATCCTCTATATGCCAGGCACATAGGAGTGACATGATAGATAAGGTACCTGCCAATGGGCAGCTTATGTTCTACTGGAAGAGTTAGACAATAAGCAGGAAAATTACTAAATAATGAAACATCAGATAGTGGTAAATACTAGGAAGAAAAATGCAGTGGTAAAAGGAGACCGAGCCAGTGGTGCTATGTTAGGTTGGGTGGTTAGTGAAGAGGGAATATTAGAGTAGAATCCTAAATGAACTGAGGGAGCATTCCAATATGGGACAAAGAACATTCCAGACAGGAAACATCAAGGCAAAAGTCCTGAGGTAGGAATAGACTTCTTACATTCCAGGAGCAGCAAGGCCAGCATAACTGTGGGGGAGGAGTAGCTGAGGAGAAAGGTATGAGATGAGGTCTGAGAGGTCACTGCCCTGGAGGGCCTTCTAGACCTTGGTAAGAGGTAGAGAATATTTCAAAGGCTGACTAGTTTGGGATATTAGCAATGTAGGTCATAGAAACGGGCAAATTTAAGATATGTATAAGGAGCTTGCTGATAAAATATACATGGGATATTTATACATGGATAAATGTTCATTTCCATTTTTAGGTAATATGAATAACCATATCTATTAAATGTGAAATTGTATTTGTCAAAGATTAGCTTTGTCCTTGTTAAGTTAATAATCATGCAGAATCTTTTTTGTATAGTGACCTGTAAGAAACTTACTTTGTGAGAAAATTGATTTTACATTATTTGAAGAATTTCTTCAAGGAAATTGGGTTAGAAAAAAGAAATTTTATAATTTTCCAACTAAAAATTGTCTTGCAGTTTAATCTATACATATTCCTGTTTGAGAGATTCAGTAAAACAAAAATAATTAGCATGTACTGTGTGTATTGCTGTTTACCTCCACAATGGAATACTGTAATCTTTTCTGAGTCAGCTTGTCTTTCAAGTATTTCTTTATTGCCATATATGTTTTGAAGTTTGGAGTATTTCTTCTACTTTATTATTTTAACTATTTTCCAAAGGTCTCTTAACTACTCAGCCTAATCATGAATATCTAATAATTTATAACTTTAATAAACTATTCATTTTACATGTATAATTTATAATTTTTTTTTTTATATTTTACAGAATGTTGTTCCAGCAGAAGTGTCCCTTGTTTGTGTGGTAAAGCCAGATGAATTCTGGGATAAGAAAGTAACACATTTTTGCTTTTGGAAAGAAAAGGATAGACTTGGCTTTGAGGTAACTATAGGAGTGTATTATATCTTGAAATATAGCGTTTGCTGGTATTGTTTTGTTTGTGCAGCTTTGGATACTATGCAGTGTGTAAGTAATGCTTCCTCAGTGCCTAAGCAATGATCAGTAAGTATATAGTCAGCATTCAGATACTTGTTGAATGAATTATGGTGCTTTGTCAAAGACCACAAATGCTTTCTTATTATCATTTATATCTTTATTAACTCCTTTGAATAAGTAGGAACTTTTTAGTCAAAAAGTTTTTGTGAATTACTACAGGACACTTAAGTCATACTAGGAAATCGTAGACATTTTATAATTGAAGTCAGAGCATATTTTATATGATATGCCAATTTTTTATTTTATTTTTTTAGTATCTGGTTTGGTTTTGATACATGAACACCATTACCCATCCTTTCCTATTGACATTTCTCTCTCCCTCTCACTTTCCTTGCATGAAAGTACATCTTATTGTAGATCAGGAAGAAGTCCAAAGATGAAATAGAAATTTAAACAATTCTGTCATATTTTTCCTTCCACAGCCTGTTAATCCTAGCTTCCTAGTAGGAGAGTTGATAGATACTAAACTTTATATCGGTTAAATAAAATATGGAAGCTTTGCAAGGTGTACAAAGCCCAACTCTTACCCTATAGAATATAGAGCCTTCAGTGCTTGTACAAGTCAGACAATTAAGACTCATTTGGACCTTGCTATACTATAACACATGTTTATTTTCAATAAAGTCAGTGTCAGTGGATGTTTGGTCTGGAGGAAAGGTCTCTAAGGTATCTGAGAAAGATTTAAGAAAGCCTGGTTAATTCTTAAATGAGGTAGCTTGGAATGTCTTAAAATGAGTGATTTTTTTTTTTGTTCACTTAAAGAAAATATTAGGTTATGATTTACAAGCAGTAAAACTTATCCATTTTAGTGTAGAGTTTTGAGACTTTTGACAAACATAAACAGGTAAGTAACCACATCACAATCAGGAAATACCTCATCACTCCAAAAATTTCCATCACGCTTCTTTGTAGTCAACTCCTTCTTCCATCTCTAGTCCCTGACAACTACTGAACTGTTTTCTGCCCCTATAGTTTTGCCTTTTCTAGAATGTCATAGAAGTGGAATGATACAGTATGTAACATTTTTAATCTGTCTTTTTCACATACGCATTTGCACTTGAGATTCATCCATGTTGTATTGATAGTTCTTATTATTTAGTTATAGTATTCCATTGTGAAGGTATACCACAGTTTGTGTATCCATTCCCCAGGTTGTGTTCAGTTTTTAGTGATTACAAATAAAGTACTATAAACATTCATGTATAGGCTTTTATATGAATTTTTTTTATCTCGAGGGGTAAAATACGTAGGAATGGGGTTGGTGGGCCATTTGGTAAGTATATATTTAACTTTATAAAACACTTCCCAAGTAGAATTTCAAAGCGGCTGTATTATTGTGCATTCCCACCAGCAAAGTATGAAATTCCCATTCTTGTTAGCACTTGGTATTATTGTTAGTTTTTGTTTGTTTGTTGAGATTATAGTTATTCTAGTGGGTGTGTAGAGGTATATCATTTTGGTTTTAACTTGTATCTCTCTAATGACTAATGATACAAATATATTTTCAAATGTTTACATATCATTATTTACCTTCTTTGGTGGTAAACATTTTTGCCCTTTAAAAAAAATAAATAAGGTCTTTGTTTTCTTGCTATTAAAATATGAGAGTTCTATATGTATTTGGATAAAGGTCTTTTATGAGCTATGTAATTTGCAAATGGTACGTCTCAGTCTGTCATTTGCCTTTCAAGATCTTAATAGCATGTTTCAAGAAGTTTTTAACTTTGATGAAGTGCAGCTTTTTAAAAAAAATGTATTTTATTGATTTTTTACAGAGAGGAAGGGAGAGAGATAGAGAGTTAGAAACCGGTAAGAGAGAAACATCGATCAGCTGCCTCCTGCACACCCCCTACTGGGCATGTGCCCGCAACCCAGGTACATGCCCTTGACCGGGAATCAAACCTGGGACCCTTCAGTCCGCAGGCTGACGCTCTATCCACCGAGCCAAACCAGCTAGGGCTGAAGTCCAGCTTTAAATTTTTTTTTTTTTTATGAACAAGGCTTTTTGTGCTGTAGCTGAGAAATTTTTGCCTAACTTAAGATCACAAAGATTTCTCTTAGCCCTAGCTGGTTTGGCTCAGTGAGTAGAGCATTAGCCTGCTGACTAAAGAGTCCTGGGTTTGATTGCCGTCAAGGGTACATGCCTGGGTTGTGCGTTTGATCCCCAATAGGGGGCGTGTAGGAAGCAGCTGATCAATGATTCTCTCTCTGTCTGTCTCCATTTTTTTCTCTGAAATCAATAAAAATATATTTAAAAAAAATGTCTCGTATATTTTAGGTTTTATATTTAGATCTATGATCCATTTGAGTTAACAGTTGTGTCAAGTTATTATCTGATAATATACGTTTCATGACTTTGGTTATTGTTAATTTGTGCAAGTTATTTTTTGACTCAGTATATGGTCTATCTTGATTTCCTTGTGTATGTGACAAGAATGTGTGTTTGCCATTGTGTCAGAGTGATCCATGACTGTCAAGATGGTTCATAATGTGATTTCAAATGGTTGTTCTGTTTATCTTGTGTGTGTGTGTGTGTGTGTGTGTGTGTATGTGTTTCAGTTTGGGTATTTTCTATTGATCCATTTTCAGGTTCATTGTTTCTTGGCTGTGTTGAGTTTGTTAATGAAGCAAACTTACTAAATCTCTGTTGCCATGTTTTTGTTTTCTGTAATTTATGTTTGACCCTTTCTTGTAGTATCTACTCTTGGCTGAGATTCCCCATTTGTTCTGCAGTTTGTCCATGAGAAACCTTAGTATCCTATATAATAAAAGCCTAATATGCTAAGTGTCCAGTCGTCTGGTTGGCCATTCAACCAATCAAAGTGTAATATGCTAATGATATGTTAAGGCCAGTTAACTGCTTGCTATGATGTGCACTGACCACCAGGAGGCAGACGCTCCGACCAGTAGGTTAGCTTGCTGCTGGGTCTGGCTGATCAGGACTGAGAGAGACATGCTGGACACCCCCTGGAGCCCTCCCACGGTCCCTCTCCGGCTGGCCAACCTCCTGTGTCTCTCCCCAGCCCTGATCGTGCACCAATGGGGTCCCTCAGCCTGGCCTGCTCCCTCTTGGAATCCAGGCTGAGGGTGCCCCCTCTCCCCGAGTGTGTGAGTTTCGTGCACCGGGCCTCTAGTATATTATAATAATCTTAAATTCCCTACCTGACATTTTTTATATCCGGGTCTGTCTCATTCCGGTTATGTTGTTTGCTTATTGGCAGTGGGTTTTTTTCTTTCTTGCATATTGTGTGCCTTGTTATTTTTTGTTGGATTTGGGACATCTTGTTTAGGACAGTAGCAATTGAGGCAAATGGTATTGTGTTTGCATGTGGGCCCATCTTGTCTTTTACAAGGCCTTTTAGTGGGGTACGGGAAGGGTTGGTGGGTGGAGTTGAATTGAGTTGGCTTTTGTTGTTGCTATTGTTTTCCTCAGTGTACCACAGGCTTCAAGTCCCTCTGGCTGCTTTGTGTAGCAGATGTGGGCTGGTTTGCCAGAGCGGTTTCTTTTTATAATACAGGGTGGTACAAAAGTAGGTTCATAGTTAGGAGTTTGCAAAACCCAGAGTTTATTCTTGTATTATTATTATTTGTTAATTATTGTGTTTTTTCCATAACATTTGTGAACCTATTTTTGCCCCACCCCGTTAGTATTCCACCCTCAGGTCTTGGTTTTTCCTTTGCACTGCTGACTTTCCCTCAGCAGTAGACTGCTGTTACTTGTTATTCAGTGTTTATCAGAGGGACATTCTCTGTTCTGATATAGCTTCGGTCTTAGGCAAGCTCTGTAATGGTGAGTCCAGTGGTTAGGGCCCCGTTAGTGGTGTTGCCCTTTCCCCCTTTCCCCAACCTCAAGGGGCCTCTATAATCTGGGCTCATAATATATTCCTGCCCACAATAGGATAGGTTCTTCTTTTCTCTTCCTCCAGCTGCAGTGGGGCTTTACTAGTACTTGTGCCCTAAAGTCAGTCTATCATTCTTATCTGAGCACCTGAAGGTTTGTTTTTTTTTTAATATATTTTATTGATTTTTTACAGAGAGGAAGGGAGAGGCATGGAGAGTCAGAAACATCAATGAGAGAGAAACATCGATCAGCTGCCTCCTGCACACCCCTACGGGGGATGTGCCCGCAAACAAGGTACATGCCCTTGACTGGAATTGAACCCGGGACCCTTGAGTCCGCAGGCCGACACTCTATCCACTGAGCCAAACCGGTTACCGCTGAAGGTTTTTGTTCTTTTGGAGAGGTAAGAGTTGAAGAATCTAGGCTGTGCATCAACTTCATGCCTTTCCCATAGTGGCTGCTGCCGCCTTCTCTGAGGCCTGTACTCTGAGAGAGGCTGTGTTGAAGTTTCTTAACTATTCCCAAACATCCTCTGGAGGCCCTGGCAAGTCTGTGGAGAGGAGCCTGCAAATGAGTTTGAATTCTTGTGGCAGCACCTCCCAGGGCTTTGCAACTTTGATACTAGCCCACTTTTGACCTTGAGCATTTCATTTCAAATGCTAGCTGAATTCTTTCCTGGCTTGTATGGAGTCTAGCATTTTCTCCGGATAAACAAGTGTTCTGGCTCCATCTGTCCTTGAAGGTGCAAGTCTTTCCTTAGATTTCAGGTTAATTGGTTTCCTTGTGAACTTAACTTTTCATGGATTCAAGAAAAGTTGTGATTTTTCGGATAAACTTGTACTGTTTTGTTGTTGTTCTTGTAAGGGTTGGAGCAATGCTCTTTCCATCTCTATTTTTTTGTTAATCCTCACCCAAGGATATTTTTTCCATTGATTTTAGAGAGAGTAGAAGGACATTGATGTGAGAGAGACACATCGATTGGTTTCCTCCCACACGTGCTCCGACCAGGGCCAGGGATCGAGTCTGCAACTGAGGTACATGACCT